AGGAGGATGGAGATGATGGTGATGATGATGGCAGTGATGGTGACGATGGTGATAATCATGGTGGTGGTGATGGTTGTGGTGGTGATGATGGTGGTGGTGATGATGATGGTGATGATGATGGTGATGGCGATGATTGTGATGACGGTGATGATGGTGATGGTGATGATCACGGTGGTGATGGTGATGGAGGTGATGATGGTGATGACAATGATGGTCATGGTGCTGGTTATAACGGTGATGATGATGATATGGTGGCAATGGTGATGATATGATGGTGATATGATGGTGATGATGGTGATTATGGTGATGGCGATGATTGTGATGATGGTGATGGTGGTGATGGTGGTGATGGTGGTGATGGTGGTGATACGATGGTGATGGTGGTGATAGTGACGATGGTGATAATCATGGCGCTGGTGATGACGGTAACAGCTAGCACTAATTGAATTACTTCTATTTCCAGGTGCATATATCTTCTTACGTCATCCTCACACCAACCGTACCAAGTAAACATTTGTGTGTTCATTCACAGATGAGCAAACTGAAGCTAAGGAAGATGGCCTCTCTCACAGGAGTATGTGTAAGTGGGACAATGGATTCAGTTCAGATATACACTAAATTCCTCCTTCCTAAAAGACCTATAAATCTCCAGCATGTAATTACGCAACTGTGATAGGCATCCTGGAGAATTAAATGGAACAAGAGTCTTACATAACTGATTCCCTTCCAGAGTAAGACCCCTTAAGTAAAGGCTTTGCCACTTACTAGCTAGAGGACCCACAAGCCCTCTGAGCTTGTTTCCTCCCCTACAAAATGGCTATAATCAATATTGAACTTCACGAAGTCGTTATGAATATTAAAGATCACATGTAATGCATCTAGGATGGTGACTGGCATATCCTCTTCCCAAACATGTTGCTGTTTCATAATAGAGGTGGCAAGAGTGACAGCGATGATACGTAGGAGTAGAGTGGGAACTCATTTACTTGAAGATGATGGTGATGATGATGGCAGTGATGGTGACGATGGTGATAATCATGGTGGTGGTGAGGGTGGTGATGGTGGTGGTGGTTGTGGTGGTGATGATGGTGGTGGTGATGATGATGGTGATGATGATGGTGATGGTGATGATTGTGATGATGGTGATGATGGTGATGGTGATGATCATGGTGGTGATGGTGATGGAGGTGATGATGGTGATGACAATGATGGTCATGGTGCTGGTTATAATGGTGATGATGATGATATGGTGGCAATGGTGATGATATGATGGTGATGATGGTGGTGGTGATGGTGATTATGGTGATGGCGATGATTGTGCTGATGGTGATGGTGGTGATGGTGGTGATGGTGATGATGGTGGTGATGGTGATGGTGGTGATGGTGATGATGGTGGTGATGGTGATGGTGGTGATGGTGATGATGGTGGTGATGGTAGTGATGGTGATGATACGATGGTGATGGTGGTGATAGTGACGATGGTGATAATCATGGTGCTGGTGATGATGGTAACAGCTAGCACTAATTGAATTACTTCTATTTCCAGGTGCATATATCTTCTTATGTCATCCTCGCACCAACCGTACCAAGTAAACATTTGTGTGTTCATTCACAGATGAGCAAACTGAGGCTAAGGAAGATGGCCTCTCTCACAGGAGTATGTGTAAGTGGGACAATGGATTCAGTTCAGATATACACTAAATTCCTCCTTCCTAAAAGACCTATAAATCTCCAGCATGTAATTACGCAACTGTGATAGGCATCCTGGAGAATTAAATGGAACAAGAGTCTTACATAACTGATTCCCTTCCAGAGTAAGACCCCTTAAGTAAAGGCTTTGCCACTTACTAGCTAGAGGACCCACAAGCCCTCTGAGCTTGTTTCCTCCCCTACAAAATGGCTATAATCAATATTGAACTTCACGAAGTCGTTATGAATATTAAAGATCACATGTAATGCATCTAGGATGGTGACTGGCATATCCTCTTCCCAAACATGTTGCTGTTTCATAATAGAGGTGGCAAGAGTGACAGCGATGATACGTAGGAGTAGAGTGGGAACTCATTTACTTGACAGTACCCATCATCTTTAAAGTTCCTATCAAATGAAATCTATCCCAACACCAACCATTCATCCATACATGCATTTATTCATTCAATCCTTCATTGACCAGTTATCTGTGATGCTCAGAATTATGGGGTGTTTATAACTGGAAATAAGACCTCTTGCATGTGAGTCGTTCACCCCATATAGGGGCGCTTAGGCAACCACTGTGGTATATGGAACAATTAACCCCTATTGTCCACCCCACTCTGTGTCCACACCCCTTGCCATATAACTCCCAGACTCTTCCAAGGCAGAGTGTACCTCTGATTTCTTGACTTTGGGTCGGCCTTCTGACTTGCTTCAGGCAGAAGAGTATCAACAGATGTGATGTGACAAAGCAGAGACTTGAATGTAAACATGCACTTAGGTGTTCCTTTCTGTGCTTCCCTCAGCTAGCTGCTGCCCTTACAGGCCGAGACCCAGAATACACATTCACAGCACAGGGACCACGCAGTTGATCCGTGGGCTTGCAGCAGAGAGCAGAGCCACTGTAGCCGCCACAGCCAGAGGCAGAGCTCCACTCAACCTGCACTCCCATGAGCAAAATTAATGCTTATTGTTGTATTGCCTCTAAGATTTCACAGCAATAGCTGACCAACGCAGTCACGAATCACTAGTACACAACAGAGAACATGGCTCGTGATCTGAGGAAGGAACAAACGCCCTGTAGGGAATTCAGAGGATCAGATGTTCTTATTTGGGAGTTAAATTTAAAACACATTTAGGTTTTCTGAAGGCACTGTGAGAATCTAGGGTTTCATTCTGGGAGAAGAGAGAGGAGGAGAAGTTGCAAGGAATTAGGTACGTGGTCCGAATTCACGCCGACCTATGCACTGCCCTCTGCCCTCTTCGGGGTTCTATTCGGTCACACGAGGTGCCACATTCTCCTCTCTCAGCTCTAGAAAGGCACAGCACATTCTATGATCATCTCTCCCATTCTTGGAGGCAGTTCCTGCCCTATGCCCTGAGCTGTTGTATCCTCCCCATGCTTACTCGAGTTTTCAGTGTTGACCTGCCATGGCACAGGCACAGAAAGGAACACCTAAGGCTTTACTTTTCCTACCCCAGGGGTGGCCATTCAAAGGGAGACCAACGTGCCTTTGAGCCATGACAGAGTTCTCAAAACCATGTCAGGGAACTCCAGGCTGGGATGGGGTCCCCAGCTAGGAAGTGCAGATGGACAGATGGAAGGAAGTGCTTCCGGAAGAGAGCCAGCCCAGTAGGCCCTACAGCTCCATCAGTGTCATGATCCTATTAGACTGCAGGCCTTATGAGGGTGGCAAGTGTGCTTTTGGGTGAACAGGCAGTCATGGACTAGAGACCAATGGGATTTCTAATCATTTTCCTAGACCAACGCAGTCACGAATCACTAGTACACAACAGAGAACATGGCTCGTGATCTGAGGAAGGAACAAACGCCCTGTAGGGAATTCAGAGGATCAGATGTTCTTATTTGGGAGTTAAATTTAAAACACATTTAGGTTTTCTGAAGGCACTGTGAGAATCTAGGGTTTCATTCTGGGAGAAGAGAGAGGAGGAGAAGTTGCAAGGAATTAGGTACGTGGTCCGAATTCACGCCGACCTATGCACTGCCCTCTGCCCTCTTCGGGGTTCTATTCGGTCACACGAGGTGCCACATTCTCCTCTCTCAGCTCTAGAAAGGCACAGCACATTCTATGATCATCTCTCCCATTCTTGGAGGCAGTTCCTGCCCTATGCCCTGAGCTGTTGTATCCTCCCCATGCTTACTCGAGTTTTCAGTGTTGACCTGCCATGGCACAGGCACAGAAAGGAACACCTAAGGCTTTACTTTTCCTACCCCAGGGGTGGCCATTCAAAGGGAGACCAACGTGCCTTTGAGCCATGACAGAGTTCTCAAAACCATGTCAGGGAACTCCAGGCTGGGATGGGGTCCCCAGCTAGGAAGTGCAGATGGACAGATGGAAGGAAGTGCTTCTGGAAGAGAGCCAGCCCAGTAGGCCCTACAGCTCCATCAGTGTCATGATCCTATTAGACTGCAGGCCTTATGAGGGTGGCAAGTGTGCTTTTGGGTGAACAGGCAGTCATGGACTAGAGACCAATGGGATTTCTAATCATTTTCCTTTTCTAGAGGTTTTGTCTCCTTCCTTCCTCCATAGGTAATAACAGGCACTGTTATGTTAGTACAATGTAACACTGCCCCTTAGTCATTCCTGAGTGGTCCAGGCAAGACTCTTTAACCCAAAAGGTACCAGGAATCCTTCCTCTGGAATTTTAAATTTACAATTCAGAGAACAGAGACTGGGACTCACTGGGGTCTCATGATGAAGCGTCATTACTATAGACCACGGTTTCTCAACCCCAGCACTACTGACATTTGGGGTCAGGTAATTCCGGGTTTTGCGATGCAGAGGCTGTCCTGGGCACTGTTAGATGTGTGCCAGCATCCCTCATCCCTGGCCTCTACCTACTAGATACCGCTAGCCAACGGCTTCCCAGTCATGACCACCAAAACTGTCTCCAGGGACCGCCAAATATCCCCTGGGGGGCAGAACTGCCCCCCACTGAGAACCACCATTCTAGAGACAGGACCTGCAAATTCCTGCTGTTAAGGCTCCAGGACTGCCATGTTTCCCGTTTTTATCTCAGGACTGATTTGCTCAACTCTTCCCTAAATTCACTGAGATAGACACTTCTGCATCCTTAAAATAAATTCCTTTTTAAAATGTAGTTGTCTAAAATTGGTTTCCATTATAAGCAACCCAAATAGCCAGGGTACCATGTGATAGGCACTCAATAAATACGTTTAGTGAGCAAACTCCTCATGCAAAGATCCATTGTATAGCCAATTGGTAAACAGAGAGAGTGTAAAGGGCTCAAGGCCCCCCAAGGTAGGGGGTCACCCAAGGTCTTACCATCACCCACAAACTGGAGCAGGGCCAGGTCAATCTGCCTCTTCCAAGGGGAACCCTTCTGGAGAGCAATTCCATAACCGGTGGTGGCAAAGATGTATCCACTTCCGATGGTCACCAGCTTGCAGCCTTCATCCCTCCCAGCCTTGTAATTCAGGACTGCCGCATCGTAGATGAACGCGTCCAGTTTCCTGCAATGACAAGAGCCAGGGAGTCAAAGGGACATCTGGGTACCACGTTGGGGCCCAGTTCCAGAGGCCCGATCCAGCACCACACACTCTTTCACATGGGAGATGATGACTCATGGCTGCTGCAGCCCCTCATCATAAAAGGATCTATTTTTAATGAGGAGGTAAAAGCCAGAACCTTTTCTCTCCAAGTTACAAGAGGCAGCTAAATAAAGACATGAAGAATCCTTATGCCCAAGTGTTTGCTGAGTGTTTGCCCTTAGCGCTCCCCACGGTGGAGGACGGCGGCCTATTTAGAAAGGTTTGCGTCAGAACAAAAGAAAACCATTAAGGCACCAGAGAATTTGGTGCTGGTGCGCAGGAAGGGGAACAGATCTAAATGGGAATGATGTCTTTTCCTTCCAAAAGAAACATGTTTACTGTCTGTTTATACTACAAAAATTATTACATAATTTCTAGAATTCCAACTAATGCAGAAAATACTAAGAATACAAACAAAAATTAAATTGTCTATAATTCCATAACTCGGGCACCATCGGCTAACATGCTGATGAACACCCTTTCAAACTGTTTATGCGTGTGTGCGCACACACACGCGTGTTTTAAAACAGGGTTGGCAAACTTTTTCTGTAAAGACAAGACCAGTATTTTGGCTTTGCGGGCTACACAGTCTGTGTTGCAGTAACACAGCTCTGCTATTGTAGCATGTTAGGGGCTGAACGCAGAGTCTGATCTTATTTGGAGATAGGGTCACTGCAGATGTATTAGTTAGCATCAGGTCATACAGGAGTAGGGAGGGCCTTCAATCCAACACAACCGGTGCTCCTATAAAAAGGGGACATGTGGACGCAGACATGCACCCAGGGATATGCCATGTGAAGGTAGGGGTTACGTCGCCACAAGATTAGGAACTACCAGGAGCCAGGAGAGAGGCCCAGAACAGATCACCTCGAAGCACCTTCAGAGGGAACACATCCCAGCTGACACCTTAATCTCAGTAAAAAAAATTCCTGCTGTTTAAGCCTCTCAGCTTGTGAAGCTTTGTTATCGCAGCCCTAGGAAGCTAATACACAGCACGAAAGCAGCCACAGTTAACACACAGATGAATGAACTCAGCTCTGTTTCAAAAAGAGGAACAGATTGGCCCATGGACCATAGCTTGTCAATTCTTATTATAGCCCCAGAAGAAGATTATTCCATACCAACTCTTTCCCAACTTGTTTTCTTTTCCCATTTCACAGCACACATAGTGAATGTATTTCCACATCAATAAACAGTGCATTTTTTTTCTTTGTGGATATATGTATTTCTATTAAGGTATAACTTAAGCCATAAAGTGCTAGATAAATTTTTTACCCACATGTACATCCTTGACATCACCATGCAGATCAGCATATAGAACATCACCATCATTTCAGAATTCCTGCGTGTACCTCCCAGGCAGCTCCCTCCAAAAGGCAAGCATCAAGTCATTCTCTTCACTGGCACGTCTGGGCCTAATTCATTTCCTAAATCACTATTAGTGGCTACATATGCTGTTTGCAATTTTGAAAGTTATTTAACAAAGCTCAAACGATCACCCTTGAAGTGGGGATGGATGTCTCCATTCCAAAGTGGGTAGAAAACTAAATCAGAGATTACTCAACGTCCTGACACTTTCTCAACCTAACTGCCTTTCTTGCTTTAACAAGAAACATAAAGCAGTGAAGCAAAGAAAAATAAAAGTGGCAGGGAGAGGACGTAAAATGTTGCATCCTTTCAGAGACAGCTGCTGAGGACTCCCTATGGGAACAAAACGATTTGGGAGGTTTACGGCTGCATTCTTCATTTTAATTTTTTGTTTCTGTAATGGTTAGAGGTGGGGTAAGACTACCAGGCTTGTCTCACCAACAGAAAACCTCTGAAGCTTTTATCTCCAGGCTGTAGGACCAGAGACTTAGTTTTATATTCTGACAGTATTAAAAGGGGATCAGGTTGTCCAAGCAGAAGAGGAAAAATACTGAGCATTGGTAATGGTAATGGCAAATCAAGAGCTGACAAATTTCTCAAAGGCAATAGCCTTTATGGACAGCCAGTAATACGGAGACCTGTGGAAATATGAGATGGGGAATTTCAAAAGACTGAAAGCAATTTGCATGTGATGGCAGTAGGGCATGCGACAAGAGTGGTGGAGGGGTAGAAGGGTCTAGATTTGGCCTCAGGAAAGTCAATTCCTTTTAGATTGCTTGTGCCTCATCTGTGACATGAGGCAGTCACTGTGGTCCTGCTGAGATACTTGGCCAGCTATGACACTGCATGATTCTGCAAGCCGACAGTCATGTCTGGTCACTAACAATAGGGAAATTGAGACTCCAGATAACGTATGTCCTGAGGACTTCAGGCCATGGATGGCATTTGTCCCTTGAAGCTGGGTGCTTGCAACATCAATACTTCACATAGCAAAGTCGCCATGGACATGCCAAGAACTGGGTTTTAATGAGGCCTTCTGAGCCTCACTCAACTCTCTTTTCTCAATTCCTCAAAAAATAAACATAAATACATGCACATGTGCCCACAGGGGTATCTGTTAAGGCCAAATGTTGGTATTTATGGGGTGAAACCTTTCCCCACCCCATTAATCCACCACTCACTGGTGCATTTCTGGAATGGAAATCTAAAACTGTACCCGGCAACCTTATGAGAGTTGTCTAACAGCAATATTTCATGGACAGGCACAGGTTTCATGACAAATATTCTTCAGCTGAGCAACAAACAGCCAGATGAGTAGAAAGAAAACAGGAAGTTTTCTCAGGGAACAAAGTTTGCAAAAGCAAGATGCTGTCGAGTCAAAGGAGGACAAATGGAAATGACGTGGTTGGTGCTGAGCACGCTGGCTTGTCTGGAGTGGGCTGGGCATCGTGCCTGCAGAGGGGTGTGGCCATGAAGAGCCACAGATGGGCCTGCCGTCCATGGCCTGACACCCTGTGGTCTCGGGGCCAAAGCAGAACCGAAGAGGGGACAGCACATGAAGGAAGCCACTGGACTGGGCCCCAAGTTCTTGACTTCTGCCCATCATCAACGACTTTAGGGAGCTGGGGTCTAAATGCAATACGAGCCACAGTATGTGCTAAGGACACCCTGAGGCTTACATGGCCCCCTCTGATGTACTTGGCCATTGTTTGCACAGCACATTTTATTACATCTTTCCATGGGAGCCTCAACTGCCTAGTAGGGGGATTTATTACTATCATTATTTTCCTATGTTGTCTATGAGCAGATGAGGTTCTAAGAGGCTAAGGCAGCCTGATGCTCATCAGTGATATTTCACAAAGCTCTGACAGAACAGTTTAATAGAACTTTCTGCAGTGATGAAATACTTCAGATCTCTGCCGTCAGATATGGCTATCAAGCACCAGTTGTGGTCAGGGCAGCTGAGGACCTGAGCTTTAATTTTTATACCATGTCATTAACTTAGATCCTTATGTAAGTGGTCACACGTGGCTGGTGGCTGTGAGGGCACAGTGCAGGGCCAGGCGGTCAGGGGAAGGCCGAGGGAGCAGGGGCGTTCCTTCCCTTGCTGGGACTCAGACAGGTCTGCTTTTGATCTGTTTTTGGTTGAAGAAAAATATCCCCATTGGTAAAAAGAAAAAAATTAAAGATCGCGGATGTCCTCGAAAGTGGGTTTTGTGGTCAAAGACACGGAGCAAGTCCTTTGTATTTCTGAGCCTCAGTCTTCTCTCTGCAAAGCGGAGCAGTTAATATCTGCCCATAGAGGGTGGCTGGGAATAAAGCCATGTCATCTATGTAAGATGCGTGTGCAATGCCTAACACATAGCAGATGCTCAAAACTCGTAAATGCATTCAACTGAATTCAGGTCTTATGGCAAAGAAGCTCGCAAACTTCTATGCATCTGGGACAAATCAAGTCCTGAGACTTGATGTACATCATCTTGTTTCATTTTCTACTGCTATCCCCACTGTCAGATGCGGAAACTGAGGCACCAAGGGGTGAAGTGACTCAACCCTGAGACCCAGCTCACAGCAGAGCAGCCCCTGGGCTCATGCAGTCTGACGCCAAAGGCTACAGCCGTAAGTACTATGACCACTTTATCCATTAGACATGCGGAATGATTGAAGGCAGGTAGGTCTGTGTATTACTTACAAAGTTCAGATTGGGGGTTACAGCTACAAACCAAGCCGATGGTATGAAACCAGAGGCAAGGATTAGACCAGAGAGAGTTTAAAGACCTTTGCTGGGCTGTTTAGCTTCATCCGTCTCTTTGCCAGGCCTGGAGCCCCACCCCAGAGAAGCTCTCTGGCCCCCAGGACATCCTACCCCATTGCTTCAGGGGACGTTGCGGCGTACATGGGCGTAGCTTCTTGCAGAAGAGAGAACATAGGAGAGAGGAAAAGGGCACCTGACACTGAAGTCCAATTTAGACCAAAAGCATTTAGGGCTTGGCGCTGTGAGGCGGGAGGTGGGGATATACTGGACTGCAGCGAGATGCCTGGCAGCACCAGGTCTGGAACAACGCGGGGATAAAAGCCCCTCCGAACTCAGAGCTGACTGCTGGGAGCCCGAGGGCCCGCAGGGAAGGAGCCCAGGTCCGCTCCTCTGCCTGGTGTGCTCGTCTCCTGCCCTTCAAGAGGAAATCATCTCTGTCCCCTCCCTCCCAGCGCTTGCCAGGTCACGTGGCTGTCACTGGCAAGGTGCCTCTCGCAGGGCGGGGGCTGAACGGTCTGAGAACCGTGATGGGATGGGGCCCCTACCTCTCTGTCTCCACCCCTTACAGAAGGATGATCTCTTCTCCAAACGTGTGTGATGAATGAAAAGACATTCAGCTCCCCAGCCTGAGAGCTGAACACAACCAGGACCCAAAACGAATGCTGTGCCATGCTGCGCCGGGCACCACAGGGGCTGCGCGGGTGCTGTCGCCCTCTCCCTGTCACCAGCAGTCCCCAAGGAAAGCACATGGTTAAAATTGACAGTAATTCAGAGCGAGGGGGGGAAATGAGACCTCCTC